TTCTGTTATAATCACATTATTATTTTATTTTTTAATTACAGCTGTCCCTTGATAATCCGACAGGTATGGGATCAAAGGGGTGTTGGATTACCAAAAGTGTCCAGATTACTGAAAGTGATTACATATTTTGCATTGTTTTATTAGCAGTAGTTTACAATATTCCCTATTCCAACTGTTCGAACAGAACTGCTCACAGAAAACACACAAAATGCATGTCATCGTGTAAGAATTGGGTGGGGAGATTCGTGTCGCGACATGCTTCTGTGCAAGCAGACACGTAACGGGGATGGGTACCTTGACGGGAGGTGTGTCGGACTACTGAGCATGTTAGATTAAAAAACGTTGGACTATCAAGGGACAGCTGTATTCAAATTTAATAATTTTTAATACTTGACCTTCAATTTGTTGTTAATAAATTTTGAATTCAATTTTGACCCATTTTCAGAAAAAGGTTTGCCATTGCTGGCCTAGACAAATGTAGAATGCTTCACCCAGAAAAAGGACTTCCAAAGAAAGATGATTTTGTACTCTGAAATGGAGATGTCATTGAATCAATGGATGGAAATGAAGTCTACAAATATTTAGGATTGTAACAGGCAAAACTCACAGTTGAATGAAAAGTATTGTACATGTCTCATCCCAGTACTGACATGTAAATTTTGAGTTATACACTGGTGTGCAAAACTTAAGCAATGATATAATTTTTAAGCAGACAGCCATGAAATTGTAGAAAAGAGAATTGCTCTCTTTTGAGAGACGTGAGAGTTTACAATTGCCATACAAGACTAGATTGCAAATACTAACTACAGGAAGCACATTTCAAAAGATAGAACACTCAAAGAAGACACTTATAGGAAATGCCACACCATGCATGAAACTACTATCCCCAGTCAAAAGTATGGAATAATGTTATAAATTCCTTCATCACAACATTTCAAAGACAAGTTTTAAAAAATATTTAATGTTTACTTGTTGATTGCTTTTGCAAATTTTGAGACAATATATTTCCGTAAACATGTGCTAAAATGAAATCAGTTTTATGCATTATAAAAGAAAATATGATTCATTTACTAATCAAAAGTAGAGACCAAAATATGGAATACTAGCATAGCAGGGGAAAAAGTTTAGAATATAATCAGCATGATCCATATTAAAATTAATTTAGTGACCTGTTATTGCATAATATCACACTTTTACAGTTCTGCAGATTCAATTTTTATCTTCAGAACTGTAATCATGCTTAATGTTTTATTTCTAAAACTATGCCAAAAACAGCAGAATTAAGTGGTGCAAAGAAACATTTGATAATTTCTTATTACAGACATGGTGAAAAGCAGATATAATTATAAAACACATACTACAATGTATATAAATTGCGGTGTCTAAAATTATAGCTAAATATAAAGCACAAGGAACTGTCTCCAATTAATGTAAATGTGAATGCCTCCATGTAACTATGGCATGAGAAAACAGAAATCTCATCAATATGATTAGAGGAGGAAGATTTAAGTCATCCAAAGAGATAAATGCTGAATGGAAAAAAGCTGGTACAGATGTATCTGAAAAACAATTCTCACAAGGTTAAATGAACATGGCTGCATATCAAGAAAAGCAAAGTAGAAACCATATCTGACTGAGAAGCATAAAAAACTACATCTGCAGTGGGCATAAATGTACTAGAATTGGGATTTGATGCATTGGAAACAAGTTATGTTCGTCAACAAGTGACATATTTGCATGGGATATGAAGATAACAATGGTAGCAAAGTTTGGAGTAAATCCAATGAAAAGTTTCTATCAGAATGCCTTCTTTCAAAAACAAAATTTCCAAATGTAGTTATGGTTTGGCATGCCATAACTGCAGCAGGACCTGGACATTTGGAAATTGTCAACACTACAGTGAATGCAGAGGTTTACTTGAAAAACAATTTTGTGCTAAAAACAGTAGAAGGAACCCTTTGGTGACTCTGACTTTATCTATCAAATGATAATGCATCTTCCCACCATGCTAAAATAGTACACCAATGGTTCATTAACAAGAACATTTCACATTTAGATTGGCCACCAAACAGCCCAGATTTAAATCCAATAGAGGATTTATGGAATGTTTTGAAAAACTGGCTTCATTGTCTGAATTGAAGAATGCTATTTGAACCAGCTGGGCAGAAATACTTGCAGACCTACATGAAAAGTTAATAGCTTCAATACCAAGATGTATTAAAGCAGTAATAAAGGCCAAAGGTGGTCTCATGCAGTATCAATTTACTTTATTCCATACTTATGTCTCTAATCACTATATTCTGTATTTTTGTCTAAAGTTGCTCAAGTGTTGAATGTACTGTTTCTTAAAGTTTTTATATAATTGCTTTCACCTCTATTCTGTTGTCATTTGAACATGACTGATAAGTTTTGTTAAAAAGAATCAATTATTTAATGTCTGCTGTTTTGAAACTTTAAGCTGAATTGAATGACATACTGCAAAGTGAACAACAATCCATACTTTTGACCAGGGGTTGTATACAACACATCACATCAGCTTGAAAGCTTTTAACATAGACTATTTAGTTATGTCTGCATAAGTAAATGTACACAAAAGCTTGCACACAAATACAAACTATTACATACCTTGGATGATCATAAGTCATAGAAAACACCACCACACAAAATAAATTATGACCAAGAAAATTAAACATTTAGTGTGAAGTTCATTTTTCTAATGCTAAAAAGGTACTCTATCTTGTGGTGTTAAAATCCATGTTTCATTCAAAGTTGCAAGTACTTTCGTTAGTTTACTACTATCCTCTTCAGGCTGATTTAGACTGAGATTGAACAAGATTTTTTATATTTAAATAAAATTTGAACATAACAGTAGCTCATTGTTATATTGCACTTTTTTTTTGTTCTCCAAATTTTAAAAGCACTCAAGTCAATAAATTTTAAAATATCAATTCCCATTGAATTTTTTTTCTTTCCAACAAAATACAGTATTTTATTCCTAACATTGTCCTTGAAACTACATCTGCAGGTGAAACAGTACTTTTCAGTTTACTATGATTTGTTATAAGATGTTTACTGTTGTAATTAAAAATTATGGACAAAACTATATGTTAACATTGAGTAATGTTATNCAAGATCTAAATATGCAAAACAGCTGGACAGATCAATTATCATTTGTTTCCTTTTGATATTAAAAGTTGTTTATTTATTGGTTTTAAGTACAGTCTCCTCATTTACAAGTTCTGTGAATTCAAAATTTCACACCTTTATGTGAATTGATGCAATACTATCAATTCACATAAAGGTGTGAAATTTCAAATTCACACTGAGTAATGCTAAGGAACTTTCTTTCTGAGCAGAAAGTTCTAAAATTTTTATACAGTAGTAACTTTGCTTTTTTAGAGAATTTTTACTCTGTAATTTTATAAGTTTTGATGTTCTATTATATGTTCAATATTTATTTTCAAAATTTTCAATTACCATATTTATAATTTTTATTGAAAAATATAAATTACATGAATTTTTAAAATAAGCGATTTATTCTGAAATATAGTACTGTATAATAAAATCACAACTGATATTTTATTTTTATATAGACAGAATTTGTCTTTAAATGTCATTCTTAAATAAAATAATGCTAAATGGGTGTTTGTGATATCTGTTTATGTAAACATCATTTAATACAATATAACTAGTGATGTGCCGGATATCTGTATCCATATCCGTTACTTTTTAGCGGATCTTTAATGGATCTTTTATCTTAATGAATTTCATTACTTATATGAAATTTTAAAGATAGGTTACAATGAAATACTAATAACTTCAATTCAAATCACTTTTAATTTCTTAAAATCACATATTTGGCACATTCATATTGCAAAAATTTTATCATCTTTATCAGTTTTATCATATTGCAAAAATTTTATCATGCAAAAATCATTTACTATTGTAAAATATTTCCATATTACACTGCTAAACTTTTTTGTCGACATTGTTTTTATTTTAATTTAACTCAACACTCTCCAAAAATACAAACGTAATATATGCTATTCCGTTTCACACTAAACTATAAACAAAAACACATGCAGTGCAAGTCAAAATACGTGACGTTACTAATGCAAAGCATCAACTATTGGTCCAAGGTCACACGCACCGTATCTGTATCCGCAGATATACATTTTTAACAATCCAGCACATAACTAGATATAACCACAAATAAAATCCAGTTTTGCAAAACTAAGATTATTTTATATCAGAAGCACTTGCTCATGAAAGAATAGATAGAGATTCCATAGCATGTATAATCTATTTAGTATAAGCTGAGAATTTTTAGTACTTGGTTATATTGTGCCACCAGATAATCATGCTTTTTGTGTCTCCCAACAAAGGCAATATAATGAGGGACTAATCTATTAAAACTAGTCGCAATCTACTGTTAGTCAAAAACAAAGTTACTATATAATGTAAGTTTATTTACTGTACCATCTGTGATCTACTACTGTACAAACAGTATAAGGAAGTATTCACGACTTGATATTAAAAGTAATGTAATAGGATTTTTGAATTTGATAAAAACGTAAAGTGTGAGAAAATTATGAATAGCAAATACTGTGGCAATCAATTGAAAATATTTTCATGACTGATCTGTTGATTGCAATCAAGTGGTTGTAGTCAGCACATGCTCCTGTACACTGGCTGGCCTGCAAGATAATGGCTGATGATAATATCTGGCAGCCATTTATTATTAAAGCAAGTCTCAAACCAATGTGTTCAGAAATATAAGAAATCAAAAATCATGATACAAAAAAATCTGTTTATTAGTTTTTTATTTATTACACTAATATATTGATTATAATTACTTGAATATTCTTATAAATGCTTTAATATACTGAAACTCTATGATTATAAACATTTTCAAATTATATTAAATAATAGCATTACCAAATTTTGAAATTGATAAGTTTTAAAAGTTCCACATGTTCTAATGACTGTTTTTGTTTCAGATCTTCATCCAAAGAAAGGCCAAGTAGCGTCTCCCTGAAACCGAGTATGAAATTTGTACTGCAGCCGAGTCAGAGCTCGGCTTTCTATCCACTCTTAAAGACTTCTCCACAAGACAGTACGGTCAAACCCATGTCGTCGTCTCATTCGTTTTCTAATGATCAGAATGAAAGACTTCAGTGACTATTCTGCTATTGTCTAGTTTAACAATACATATCTATGTAAATGCATTTAGAGTTGGATACCAATAGAATGACTTGTATTCTTGCTGATAGTAATTTTTAAATTGAGCTTTATTTCACTACTACATAATATATATATATATACACACACACATATATATTTTTTTNGACACATCTATTTAAGAAAAAAAATAAGTTTCAGCAAATAGTATTCAAATTTTTCTAAGTATGAGAAATTCTCAGGTCAGTGCTACCAAAACATACCAAAAATTGTCATTTGTGCCAGTAAAAATGTTAAATGATAAAAATACCATGGGTATGTTTCTGTAGAAAAGTTGATATTAATACAAATAATTAACATATATATATATATATATATATAAATTAATTAATTAATTGGTAAAGCCTGGTGACAAGTTTTATATATATATATATACACACACACATATATATTTTTTTGATTTACTTAAATATAATGTCATCTAGTGTATAACTTCGGTATAATGTTATTTGAGTATTTGTCAAGATCAGTTTGGAATGCATTGTTTTATAATATCTGTGATTCTTTTTTACGAAGTTGCTTTCTAGTGTGTTTTTGGGTTAGATATAGTGACAGTGGACTATTACGACAACCTATCGGCATTAATGTTAAATGTTTTATACACGATATATATTATATATTAATAAATATAAATCAATTACACCATATTAATAACTAAGTACTCTCGAATTTATTGAAAAATGTTCAATTTATTCTAAAGCTCCTTTCTGTGCCATACATCCCTTTTGTAGTATGATGAAGCCCATAGATATCTTCTCAGAATAATATTTATAAATATATAAAATCAAATAAGTAAGAATACAAATGAAACTAATTATATTAAAATATGGTTATCAAAATATTAAAAAAAAGGATAAATATGTGATGCAGTAATACATAACTATTATGTTATATAAAAGTATTTGAGATTTCTATTGGATACAAAGTCAAGTATTGGTAATATTGCTATAGTTAATTGTCTATATTCATTTAAATAAATAATTCAATTTCTTTGGAAAAAAATATAATTTTCCTCTTATTCAAGTTCATTGATACTCTGAAGTCTATACTTTCAAAATATTTATGGATCCTTTTAATTTAGAAACCCTGTCGTAAAGGAATAATCTANCATACACATAGATACTATAAATATACATAAGATATATATATATATTAAGGGGAGAGTATATATTAAAATTTATTTAATATGCTCATTGAAATTTCAAAACAAGGAAGCTCAAAATATATTTTCCAGAAAATACTACAAAAAAAGAAAAAAATAGTAAAAATCATCATTACAATTTCACAAGTATTCACATAGCAAAGGAAATTTATTTTTCTTTTTCTGGATTTGATAAAAATGCGGATGAACAAAATCGACAAGTACAATACAACATTGCATCTCCATTTATCTAGAATAAAATGCATTAAGGACGATTACGTTAAATTTAAAAAAATCACATCGGTAAGTCACCAAATACAGTCGTCATTCCAATATTTCTTAGTGCCATTATGCCTTATCTTGGCAGGGCCAAAAAAAAATAATAAACTGTACAAGTACTATTTTACAAGCCAAAAATAAGTGGCTTGCATATGAAGAGATTACGTGTCAGATTGTAAATAGTTTCTATACCACATAAATGTTTTTGCATCCTTCCTGTAACGGAAGAAACAGAATATTTATAAGGCCAATAAGCCATGAATATAAAGCTTCCATTCCACAACGCACAGAATTCCAAGGCTTGCTCCGAGCCGACAATGGGTACTGTGCCTAACCTGTTTAAAAAGTGAACTGTTACGATGCCTAGCATCTACAGCAAACGAAACGTCAGACTTTTGTCCTTTCCCGTGTCACATCGCCGCACCGAGCAGGGAGATACTCTTTACTAGTTGCTTAATTATGGTTGACTTTGTTTTGTGTTGTCTGATAATTCCACAAATATTTTCTTTCGAAACGCTTAAACTGTGTAACTATGCAATGTTTGAAGATTTCCGTTTCGATTGTGGCTTAAATCAAACTAGATGCAGTGAAATATTTTTTGTCTATATTTTTTTTTAAATATATATATATATTTTTTGTCTGATTCCAATTATGTTTTTGAAATTCCATCAAAAACACATAGATGTGATCTGTTAAAGATTTGCACTTTGCTTTTTTTTCCTGGTGCAATTTCACAAACTTCATTCCTAAACAATAACACAAATGGGAATTTTGTAAAAAAAGAAAAATTACAAAAAAAGTGAAAAAGCGAAAAGTAAAAATTGTTGGAATTTTTGTATGTAGAAATTTTAGTGTAACATCTTGTACATTTATCTTTTTATCATATTTTATTCTTTTGTTGTATATGCATTTGTATATACATTACCTGTTATAATTTCTTGTCGTGAAGTTTATTTGTATGTTTTTCAAGTTTATTAATGTTTAATTTTAACGTGAACAATGCATAATCATAATGATCTATTTGTAATCTCCGAGAGGTTAAAAAATAAAGATTTCATTATCAAAAGAATGATAAAAAAAAAAAAATTTAAACCTACCTCAGTTTGAAATCTGGTCAATTGCCGCTCTATTCATTTGACGAAATATTTAATACATTCATTTTTCAAGGATTGTAACAGAAAATTTTTATTGTTTTATATGCCAAGTAATATAATGAAATGCTCCACATAAATTTTGACGTGTCTATGATTTGACACAATGCCTTGTTTTTAAATATTTTATTGACCAGAACTACAAATTTTAAAGGTGATGTTTTATGATTTATAAATGTTTATTTTCTGAAGTAAATTCAAAATAATCATATCTAGAAAATATGAAAATGAAAATTGTAGAAATTATATATATTATATTAGAATATTAACATTTTTGCTGCTGTATGTCAAAGATGCAAAACCAATTACAGTTTTGACTGTGATGGTACAGTTTCGATTTCAAAATTGAATTATCTAAAAGTTTAGAATCATTAAAATATTGTTACGTAAAATATGAATAAAAAAAAGTACAATCTATGAAATTTGCCAATGCGCTGCATTAAGGAATGACGTCGAGTGAGTATTATGGAGTCTGGAGCAGTAGAGATTACGGCGAAGTTTATATAATTATAATTCCCGTAATTTGCGGCTACAAAATTTGTAATTGAAAATTAATTCCTGTCTCGCTCGTCGACTTGGCATCAACAGGATCTGATCCTAAAACTTTTTATGCCTTTTGTGCGTGTGGCGACGACTGTTAAATAATTTGTAGCAACTCCCTCGGTATAAATTTAAATTTAACGTTGAGACACGCTTCAATTTTTTTAATGTAAATTATATCTAAAAAATAACAAGGTTTTTTTCTAATATACAAAAAAAATTTGATAAAAACAAAGTGCCAAGTTTATTTTATGATGATTATATAAATGCACTCATATTGTGAAATATGATTTATATTGTATCGAATTATGTGTTGGGTAGAGGGATAAACCAAGATTTCATATCGTGATAAATCATCAGAAATTTTGATATTGAATATATGTGGAAGCTTAATAAAGGAAAAAAAATTATGTTTATCATATCAGTAAATAAACTATTCTATTCTCATTATGGTTTCTTTATATTTCAGATAGAAAAAATTGTCTACAAAACAAATTATATTCTGGCATCAGTCTGTCTACATATAAAATTTTAATATATTTATATGAAATGTTTAAATAGACAGAATGAAGAGACAATAAAAACATTCTAACATGATTTTATTTGTCACAAGATTTGTGCTAAAACATTATACACCACAAGTGAAAATTATTATTACATTGATAAAAGATTTAAGAAAATATTTGTAAATTTCCTTTTATATTTATTTATTTTCATTAATGTGCATTTATCAATAAAAAAAAAAAAACAAAAACAAACATTTGAAGAGATTCTAATTACCTAATATTAGAACTCTGTCTTTCTATCGCTTATACGGATAATAAGCAAATTTGTACCACAATTGTTTTTTCTTGCTTATCTTCAATTATAATGGATTTTAATGCCAATCCACATGTGATAAATGCAGAAAAATTCTACAGAAAATTCTGCAATGATGTAAATTAATGCTCTTTGTAACAGATGCATTGTATCCTAGGTGCATTGGCCATTCCTGCCTCTGTGCACAACCCCCACTTCCATTGAAAGATACGGAAGTGTGGCAATTATAGAAACACCAATATGGGAATCTAATCAATCTGTAATTAAACAGTTTTATTTTTTCAGTTTTACAAAATAAGCATAATGTCCATTTTTGACCCTTAAAAAGTTGAAACAAATGGCAATCATTCAGGTAGCCATCCACATGCACTGCCATTTATTTCAAATTTGTTTTTATACATTTAGTAAGATTATTCTTACTTGATCTATAATTCTTAAACAAGCATTATGATTACATTCTATAATGTTACATTCATATTCAGGCTAAAAATAATAATTGAATGTACATATGTTTAATTGGCAGAAGCAATTATGTATGTACACACTATTTTTATTGATAGTACATATGTGTGCATAGTGGCTTTCATAAATTAAAACATTAACATTTTGAAATTTCTCATCACAATTGCAGACTTAGAATTTACACACACACACACACACACACATATATTTTTTTACAGACCAACCAACAAACTTTACAACTGAAATTTGTATATGACAATTTTAAATAAGTTATGGAAAAGTTAAATTCAAACTTTTATATTGAAATAATGCAGATTTTTGGAGATAAAGGATGGCAAATAATACATTTATATGTCACTAGAAATGCATTAATGTCTTTAGGATCTCCTACATTTTATATTAAATGACAACAATGGGCTGTTAAAAATTTCCAAAATATTAGATTGATTGATTTAATTATATAAAGATTATGCATTTTCATTAAAAATATCAAATCCCATAAGGAGAAAGCATAAAATTTATATGAAATTAAGGCATTTTATTAAAGGCTTTACTTGTATTGTGTTATTTATTTTACACTTTACAATTAATGAAAAAGTTAATAATTTATATCTAAAAGGGGAGGCATCAAAACATATATTTTGGTAATAGCGTAATATTATAGTAAATAATAATTTCTGTATTTTGCAATTTAATGAAAACTCACTTCTTTTTTTTCAGTTTGGTAATCTAACTGTAATGCCTTTACTTTGCTCTCCAAAAAGTCTTAAGTATACATGAGACATGTATTGTATTTGAAAATTACCATCACTCCATTAGAGTTGAGATGATTTTATTAATTAAATTGCCAACATTTTTAATCAAAATTTTGATTTCCTAATAAAATACATCTCAGTTTGTCTGAGAATAAAAATATAAAAGTTGCAGTTGTCTAAGCATTACTCTGGAGGATGACATATTAATACATACTCCCAGTTTACAAAATTTTTAACATAAAAGAAGAATGTTTCTAGTATTGTCACACGTTATAATCGAATGCAGATATGATTCGGTCTTCATTTCCACATTCTTAATTTTGACAATGATCAAACATTAAATTAAAAACAAATCTGAAAACGGAAGCAGTTTTCTAACAGGAGAGCACAGAATCAGGAATGGCCAATCGGACTCGAAACATACGCCCGCGATAAAACTGGCATCTCAACTTTCAGCTGAAAATTTAAATTAAAGTATGTTATTCATTATTTTAAAATGGCAAAATAATCAATTTATTTCATTCTCACCTTTTGAGGAATTTAATTACTCATGTGCCAACTAGCACTGTGGAAATACCATTGGTCATTTTTTGGTTACTATCTTTAAATAATGCAAAGCATTATTGGCAGCATTTTGTTTAGCTTCATCTTTGGAGATTCCTGTTCCAAAACATACTGCAACAGGATGGGAAGACAATTCTACCAAGCATTGAAATTTTCCTAAATAGGAAATGTTATAAAATGTTAATTAATGCATTATATAAATAGTTTTGTAACACTATTGCAATTATTGTAAATAGTAGCATTCAAATACATGAAAATATGATAAATCACAGATATACCCCAAACTCTTCAACTACACTCTTTGACAAAAAAGTTATGTACCCAGACAGTTGTAGGCAGAGTTTTGCAGTAATCAGGCAATTCTGTCTCACACAAGTATGTGAATGATTACATTTGTGGTCCAATTGCATGCCAGGTAATATTGCCAGAGTGCCTTAAAATTGTTATCCCAGTATCCTATAAAAAGACTTGCAGAGGCTATGTTTAGAATTTTCAGTGTGTACATTGAGGTCTTCAATGCCAAGCATGCCTTTGTAATGCAGTCAAAGACTGTGTTGCATGACTAACAGAATTTGACAAAGGTTGCATCACTAAACTGAGGGAAGCAGGACAACTGGTTTGCCAAATTGCCCACCATCTGATTTGTTCTAACCCAATTGTGAGAAGGTATTCAGGGAAATGAATATATCAGATCACACATGTATGGCAGGCACCAGGAGATAATCACCCGATCATGAAACAAGCATGAACAGCTGCAGTAGCATCTTTGTCTATCATCCAGAAACAGGTAAAAGCCTCAATACAGAACCCTGTCTTTTCACATACCATTGGCAGGGGAATTCGTATGCACAGTGACCATTACACATTATCACCCAACATTGTCAGGTTCATTTGCAGTGATCCCATGACAGAGAAGCACAAACTGCTATGAACTGGCAGCACACTGTCTTTAGCAATGAATCCATATTCTGTTTGGGAACAAACAACTACTGTGTAAATGTGTGGAGGACCACTGGTGAGCATTTCAACCCTACTTTAACTATTCAGTGGCCCACTGCTGGTATGCTAATCTGGGAGCCATCACCTATGACAATTGATCACTACTAGTAGTGGTGTGAGGGACATTGATGGACAGTGGTATGTTCAGAAAATCAGTCACCCTCATGTTGCCTATCAGAAGGGCAGAAAACAGTCATTTCCAGCAAGATAAAAGCTTGGTCACACAACTAGGATTTCTCACGAATGTCTCCATGTTGCCACAATTTCTTAGCCTGGCCAGTCTCCAGCTATGTCATCCATCGAGTATTTATGGGACCCTAGCTTTGGCAATCTGCAAGTGTGAAGATCTGGAACAGCAGTTGCAACATTTATGAGCAAATCTGTTGCAAGCTTATGCCTGACCATATTGTTGCACATATCCAGACAAGAAGAGAGTCTACAAGGTACTAAAGATTTTCATTTTTTAACAGGATATTGTCCCTTTGCTTTAATATTGTAATCACTATTACCATGGCCATTACAATTGCAATAATAAAGTTTCATTCAATCCTAATGCCCCCTTCTTGGTGCATAACTTTATTTTGTCAATGGGTGTATATAGTGACAATATGAACTTACCACTAATACTAAGATCACTAACTATGGTATATTTAATTGGGAAGTCTTGCTCTTCGGAGATCATTTCAAGCATGCGAACAAAATCTAAGCTATTTCCATTGAGATTTGTTGACTGCAAACTTATAAGCGTTTCTTTTGTATTTAATTTCAAATCTTTCAAAAAAGTAGATAATTCTTGAGCATAGTTCGACGAAAGGGAGGTTGTAGTTTTTTTTTCTTTCAAATTATATATTTCTGTTACATCAGGATACGATATGCCATTCTGCTTTGACTAAAATCAATTCATATAAGGTAATTAATACCAAGCATACTGCAATAATTTCTATTTGCTTCTAAGATATTACCTCTTCTGCTGGCTGATCTGCATTATCTGTAATCATTGTTTTTAATTTTTCTAGCATGTTATGGGCAGCTTGACGTTTAGCCAGTCTCTTAGATTTTCCACAACCTGAAGATTTAAAAAATGATAATAATAAAATACTTCTCTGTTGTCCTAACAACATTAATATTTTATAAAATTTAAATAATTTAAAGGAGAATTAAAAATAATATTACAAGAGAGAGAATTTGTACATCAAGTGGTTTATAATGAAACTACAAGACAATAGACAAGTTATTATTGTATTATTACCTTTACTATAATATTCTAACTATTGCATTACAGAAAATTGCAATTTATCTGGAGAGTAATCCTGTAAAAGCTATGCTCTTTGATTTAGAAAATGAATAATGTTCCAAAATTTTTCTTAGACTTCATACAAAGTATTATCAGTGTGCATACAGAGATGTGTACAATAAACATTGTGGAAACAATCCTGCAGCATAATAATGCTCATCCCACTTGGCTTCTCGCCTTGAAAGAAATGGAATTTTATGGAAAGCTCTTCCATAATCTGAATCTGGCACCCTCCAATTACCATCTTTTAGAATTTGTGAAGGACCAGATGCAAGACCAACACTATAAGAACAGAGAGACAATCCAGCAAGCTGTGAATCTGTGGGTTCATTCCAATATGCATCTGTCTCAGCCACAACCAATGCACCAGTGAATGGTTTAATTCTTTAAACATCAGCCAAAATCTGCATAATCCATTCAAGACAAAATCATCCAATGGGAAAGTTATATTGACTGGTTTTTCTATTTGAATTCCTCTTGTAGCCTGAGAAGTAGAAACAATTTAATTTTTACATATTTGGAAAGAAATAATTTTTAGAGCGTAAAGAGTTAATAAGCTTTAACTGGAAAATCTGGCAACTAAACTAGATGAGAAAGCATTTGCAGACTTATTTTATCAAAATAACTTTGAGTTAATACAGTTGAGTAGTAAAAATAGTGTTAATAATATAACCTAGGAGGCAGCCATATTTCAACAGAACTCACCATATTTACAGCCCAATGAGTGAAATGTGCATAAGTCACTGCACCAATGAACTTGTTGGTGAATATCAAAACACATTTTAATACATCATAGTTCACTGATATGCTGTTTGATGCATACTGGAATGTTCCCAAAGTCTTTGGATGGTGGGATCAGAGTTTTTCTGCAGAGGTGTATTCAGACTTTCAGAATAATGGGAAAAATTTCTTCAAAGAAATATTGATTATGTAGGAAAATAAATCAAAGTGTATGTATTAAGAAGCAGTAATGCAGTACTTTTTCAACAATGAAAACTCTTAATTTGTCAATGAGATCACATACTCACTGAAAATATCTCAACAATTACTAACAAAAATGTAGGCAACATAACATGCACTAATAAAAATGAACAATAATTACAACTAGTGAAACTATAGACACAGAATTAATTAACACACTAAATACACTGAATTAGATCCATACAAGGCCTACAAATATTCAAAATACATACATACATCAAAATGAGTATGGAAAAGTCTATACAGTAGAGCCTCGAAAACTCGGCACTCCGGATAACTCGGCCACCCCCTGGCAGGGCAAAAAAATCCTTAGTTAATTAATTTTCATGATAAAGACAGCTTTATGCCTCATAAAGTATTTTTCTGAGGTCTGTCTTATCAGGTAAATTACTGTACACAGTGTATTCATTAATTTTCATTTTCATGTATGTACTTTTCCTTTGTTTAAGGGTATTTGGTCAGTTTATTCTCTGTTGTATTCTCAAGTAAACAATACATACAACTACAGTACAGTATTTTCTGAGAAAACACTCATATTTTTTAACCCCATTCCCGATAACCCGGCATTTTCACAAACTCGTCCACCCTTCGGTCCACATTAGGCCGAGTTTTCGAGGCTCTACTGTACTACCTAAGTACACAAATATTACCAAAATACTTTCAATCACAATTAACATTTTCATACATTATAGTAACTACACAGAATAAACTAGTTACAAACCATAATCTTAAAATATAATCATAGACCAGTGGCGTGCAGTCATTGGAAGCGGTGGAAGCACTGCTTCCCTTATATTTTCTAAAAAATAAATACATACTGTGCGATTATTTTCATATAATTAAAATTAATATTTTATTATAACTGCATTATGTATCTTATTACAAATTTCTATATTACATGTGAAAAAAAAACAATAAGATCGCTATTGTATATTCGAATGTTAGTGGCAGAATGGAAGCACTGTATTGTCAGCTTCCAAACAGCTAGATTATATTCATTCGCACATGCACTTTACAAAGCACCAACCTCACCTGGTTTAGCTGGTGGAAACTACAAACGTATAATGCTTCCAATGATTCTATCCCGAACCGGTTCTGGGCTGTTAGCCGCCTGCCTGCTAGATATTTGGCTGCCCTCGCCTGATTATGTGAATCATGAGTAGATTTATAACTTAACCCAACCGATAAGAATTTACTGGTATGTTTTTATGATAGTTCTGTATAGTTGACAGGAGTTTTAAAAAAATCCATTAAAATATGATATTTTTATTCCGCTCTCCCATCTTATATCACTTATAGATTTCAATGTTAAACCAGTGATATTACAATTTAGTATGTCCCATCTTTAAGGGGATGTAGAAAAAAACATGTACAATTCTTGTACAATGTTAAAAAATTAACTGTTACTTTGGCAGCATCATTTACAACTAAATTTAATGAATGAGAGAGATGCACGGGGTACAGAAAAAGCTCTAGAATTTATTTTCCTTAAATTTATGATTTATGTATCCATTGTCATAAGACTTTGTCTTTCCACTTTTTTCCCGAGATTACAAATATTCATGTACAAAGTAACTGATTTCGACTTATTTCTACTTAAGTAATAGTTAAATAATTAGGCAATTAGAGAATTGGGGACATAAATAAAATCCTGATGCCTGATGAGAGCCAAAATTTTACTTAAATAAAAGCTTAACTGAACCAATCTCTAGTCAAGTACAGTGGGATTGATTTCTTCGTAATATTAGACATAATAAAGACAGAAATTTTTCCAGTTCAACGAGAGTGACCGAAAAGTTGTAAATTTTGGAAATTTCTATGGTCCTAAAACGAATTAATTAGAAAAAAAAACGACGAACAATCTATTAAGTTTAATATATTTAGATTTTTACAGCTATGGTGAGAAACGTTTAAAATATACAACAACTTGTCGCATCCTTTGAGATATACTAGTGATGCAACAAAAAAGGCATTTGACATTGACCAGTATCGGCACCCTCGGGATTTGGCAGTCCACCTGTATGCACGCTCTGCAACCGACTCTGATTCCTTCCATTAGCCACTGGTAGCCAGGACGCTATTTGACTAGGTGGATTGTTTTAAGATTTAAAAAAATAATAATATTTTGTTATTTTTATCTACATTTCTTTACAAAGCTATATTTAATTATAATTTTCTTTAAAAGTATATTCATACAATTGAATATTTTGTACCAGGTATGTATAATTGTATATCCATCACACATTTTACCAAGTATGTTTTTATTATTTTATTTTTAATTGTAGCCCTTGAATCCGTAAGTAATATAAGATGGGAAAGCAGAATAAAAATATCAAATATTTTAATGAATTTTTTTTTAACTTTTTAAAATTTTATACAGAATTATCATAAATCATAACTATACAGAACTATCATATTTTTATGATAGTTCTGTATAGTTATGATTTATGATTAACTATACAGAACTATCATAAAAATATGATAGTTCTGTATAGTTGACAGTGAATTCTTATTGGTTGGGTAAGTTATAAATCTACACAATTACATTCTGAATTGTGGCTAGCGATTCAGAATATAACTGTGATATGAAAAATACATTTAGAAGTCTATGGTTTTTACTGGCTTATCGAAGAAACGAATACGAATGGACCCTAGACCATCACGCGCAATAACTGATTGTCCCTGGAAGTCGGCTTCTTACAGAAACACAGCTTCACTATCATCAAACATCATGGCACACCACTGTCATAGACAGACATACACTCAAAACAGACAAATCATAAGTCTGTTTGACAAAGAAGACTGGAAACACAAATAAAGGCAGGCTGATAGAATATAAAAATACAAAACTCCCAAAATGAAAGATTAAGAAAATTAAAACACACACACACAGCACCAATAGCACAATACACATGTAGAAGAATACATTGATACTTTCAAATAAAACTAGCTGCCAAGTCACAAAAACTGAAACAACACAAAACCTGTATGCTATGAAAACAGTCAGGACAACAGCATAACAACAAAAATAACTCTCAGATGATTAGACTAAAGAACAGACAATCAGTCTGCTCTTTGGTCCAAACCAATCATGCACAAAAATGAGGCAAGCTGGATCAAAGAGGAAGAAGAAAATGTGCAGAATACACCAATCATGAAGTGTGTTGAAATAAACACACACAGCATTCAAACTGCAGTGCAAAGAACACACATTTAAGCTGGATATCCCATATGAGTGATTTTACCTGCCAAGCCAGCATACAATCATGTGACTATCATACAATTTGCACTGCTGATATTCACTATGCTTCATTCGTTTACTATCTAGCATAAAAAGTAGAATAAATTAAAGTTGGATGATGACAATGCAATCTTAGCAATATGCCTGTTCTTTGTGGAAAAAAGAAAAACAAAACAAAATATTGAAATTATTATTATTATTATTATTATTATTGTCATTTTCCATCTTTATACTTTCAATCCTTTCTACCAAAACTTTCAGAAAACTTACAAATTTCTATTAAATTCTCAATTGCTACATTCATTCATCTAGCTATATTGTAGAAAATGATGTCAAACTATATAATGACATTCACTCATTATTGATTCATACAAGGAAAAAGTTCATCCAGCTCAAGCATCTAATTCATGCCTAACCATATAATTCTGATGCTCATTTTTTCTAGGTTGTGCATGCACAGCATTCAAATCATGTACCAAAATCACTCTCATGTGGATACTCAGCTTTAGAGGATAACTAGTACAGATAACATTTATAATTTCTGGTACAA